TATATAATGCTCAATACCTAATTTCTCCAATAGCCTCTCTTTACATTACGTACAGCAGATCTCTCTTGATGTAACTTACTCTGTTCATTATTAATTTTATCTCCTTTCTCAGAGAAACTAGCCGATCTTCGACTCAATCGATTTCCTTCTTCGTTGTCCAGTCAACCCACTCTGGTCTCGGTCTCCAAAGCCAACATAACCTTTTCCACAATACGTTCAATAAAAAATTCTTCTGTATCTGTATTCATATTATATCTATTATTATTACCATTCTCGTTATCTACTGGAATTTGCTCCTCTACCTGGAAATTATTACGTAGAGCCATACCTCTCTTCTCTCTATTAATATCCCATGATCGGTCATTAAATTGTGAAAAATAATTATTGATATCACAGCCTTTATCATTATTTTTCCTATTAGGTACTCTAACTCTATTATTTGTTTGAGCAAATGTTTTAACATGAGGTCCAACATTACTCACATATCCTCTATTAATAGACTCTGTCTTTCCATAGTTCCTACTAACCTCATTTCGCCTCTTAGCTTTCTCATTGGCTACTCCACGACTCGGTAAAGACGGCCACCTCTCCGGCCTTTCATACCTATCATATCCTGAATCGACTCCAGTATCTTCTCGTCCTTCCAGAATTAACCTAGCTTTATGAAATGATACGTTACGATATGCCATAATTGTATTAATACTTCTGTTTTTTTCCAATACCGAACATTGCCTGAATGTCGATCGGTGTGTCCCCCCACAATTTCGACAGCAACTCTCAGCCTCACACAAACCATGGGCCTCTCTTCCACAATTAATACAAACAGTGTTACTCTTACAAAATTGTTTAATGTGACCAAACTTATAACAGTTATAACATTGCCTCACTGATTGTATATAAGGCCTCACTCTTAACTTAACTCTACTGTCAAATATACTTATCTCCCGACACAAATTCTCACCTTTCATGATTATCACAATGTTGTCACTCTTTACATTAATTGACTTCTTTGATTTTTCGTCCCATTTTCGTCTGTACATACGTTCTAATTTAATGACACTTTCTTTATTTACCATAGCTTGCCATAAATCCGGAATCGATGAAGGCCAATCCGAAATAACACCTCTAGAATATATACCCCGTTGATCCACCGTAACAATCAACTTATTAGTCTCTTTCGATAACTTATCCAAACACTGGTTAGCATCTCCACCATTCGCGAATTCTACTTCCGCAGAATAATGATTCACCATCATAAGCGTAACAGGAAATATCTTATTCTCCATCAAAATCATCCAGATCTTAATAGAGTTTTTACCCATTTTCGTCGTTGTTGACTCTGCTGGAAGCTTAACAATAAG